GTCTGGAAGAGTGATTCAGGTAACCCATGAGGCTTGCCTGCTGGCTCACCCTCCCCTTCAAATCCCCTTGACAAGTGGATTGAAGCATGTCTCCAAATGCCCTTCCTTTCTGCTTGTCCAGTCCCGCATTCTCTATTCTCAGGGCCTCTTTCCGGGTGCTCAGCTGTTAGGGCAATAGCTGAAAGCAGTTGCAACGCCAGAGGATGGCTCAGTGAGAAGGCAGGAAGAGAAAGAGAAAGAGAAAAAAAAAAAAAAACCCGAACACGCCGCACTATCAGAGTATAGCAACCACTGCTACCGCCGCGACGCAGCCGTGAAAGGAAGCGCTGCCAACCGCAACACAAACGCCACCCTCCCATACCTAAGTGAGCATGTCTGCAACTGCGCAAGCCTGGTTGCACCACTCAGCGACATCGGGTCTCTTAGAAAATTATCCAGTTACCGGGTTTTGTGTGTGTCTACAAGGTTCAGAAAGGGGCCTGTCTGGGACTGAAGGGTGCTGGCTATGAGGACTGAAGCAAAATTAAGGAAGAAGTGGTGGGGGGAACCAGGAGCTCAGAACAGCAAAGCAGCTAGAATCCATTGGAACCTCTAATCCGGCACAGATTGCACATGCTACCACGTAAACCTCTGTATTGGAATTGTCTCTGAATGCAAGTAATATGCATTCATTCATCCAACCAATATTCCTCTACTTAAGGCCAAAGCTGTACTAGAATACTGAGAATGTAATAGGGGAACATACACCATTGATATCCTTATCAACATATTGATCTCACTCTCTGACTTGGTCTCTTTCTCTATGTCTCACTCTATCCCTTCTCTCTCTCTCCCTTTCTCCCTCCCTCCCCCATGCCCTCTGTTGCTCATTGTAAGTGCTACCATTTGTGGAAGCCACTCGTTAAAATGGTTAGGTGGGTAGTGTTGGGTGCTTTTAACCTTCACCTTCCCACAATTTCATGCAGTAATTGCTACTTCGAGTACATAGAAGGAGGTTTCTCAGTTCTGACCCATTTAGCAGTACCACAAAATACCTGGACACCTGCTCCTATTACAGTTTAAGCCAAGACAACTCTATGGAGAAGTTCTAAGAGTAGTATATGGAGAGCAGAATGGCATATGGATTTTTGCTGTTGTTAAGTGCTGTTGAGTCGAGTACACATACGGAGAGCAACTCATAATACAAATATACACAAGCAGCAAAGAAGTCAGGATCCAAATGTCCAGTGGTCTTATTTCAGAGGACTTTTCTACATTGCTGGGTTCTGCAACATGCAGCACCCCATTATAGTACCTGCCAGAATTTACCTCAGCTCCTGGATTTTAGCTACCTTGGGCATGTTATTGGAAGGTTTAGTCCCCAGAGAAAGGCACATGCTTGGAAAAGTGGTTGTTAGTTACATGTCATCTAGGTTAGAGCCAGCAAAAAAAGAGGACGATACTCAGTGAGATGGATTGACATACTCCAACAGTGCACTTTAGCATATTAGAGATTGTGAAGATGCTGCAAAATATTGTTCCATTGTATCTAATGGTGCTATGAGTCAGAGTATGTCACCTAAAAATAACAACTCCAGTGTCTAGGTCCTCATCAAATATTGGCAATGTTTTTCTTGAAGTTTGTGACTACATTGAGACATTAACCCAGGCATTTAGCCTGACAAGTGCTTATGAGACACCTATATGCAAAATTGTGCACTAGAAATGGAAGAAGACCAAAAAGATAAACAAGAAACTCAGAAGGGGCTGTTAACATTATTGCAGGAAGCAACACAAATACAAACCCACTTAACAGGACTATTCACAGTACTATTATTCTTAGTGTCTGTCTTTACCCCGTTGTTTTATCATTTCATCCTTCCCTTCCCAAATTATAACTTGTTCTTAAAAACCCCAAAACAAATTCATTTCAGTACATCTCTTCCAAAAGCTAGAGTTAATTTGCCTCCCCACTCCTTATTTGTACTCAAAATATTAAAAAGAGTTTTTAAATGGAGGAAATTAAAAGAAGAGGCTCTATCAAAGAAGAGCTAGTAGATGACCACTACTTACTTCATTTATTGTATTGTGATGGTTTATATATTCCTTTGATGTTGGAAAGTATGGCCTTGGTATTTCAAATACTATGACAAGGTGACTAATGAGGGATAGGTTTTCAGCTGAACTTTTAGACTTACTACAGACTAAGAAGAAGCGCCTAGTGATCTACTTTAAAAAATTAGCTAATAACAACCGTATGGATCATATGACTCACTTGCTTTCGACAAATGCCACCAGGAGGAATTGATAGCTAGGAAGGAAGTTCTCACTTTTGGTAGAGAGCTGGTGAGGACAAGGGAAACAGATTGGTAAAACAGCCTCAACAAGGAACAGAAACATGCCGGTGATTATGCAAATTATACAGGACCAGGTATCATTTTGTTCTGCTATTTATAAGGTCGTCAGAACAGAGCAAGGGAACACTGTATGGTTCAAAATTGAGAAGGGCATACGTCAGGGATGCATCCTATCTCCATACCTTTTCAACCTATATGCAGAACAGATTATCCGGGAGGCTGGGCTCTATGAGAAGAAATGTGGGGTCAAGACTGGTGGACGATTTATCAACAATCTGCGTTATGCGGATGACACAACCCTGCTTGCTGAAACTGAAGAGAACCTGAAGCGCCTGCTGCAGAGTGTCAAGGACTGCAGCCTACAACATGGATTGAGGCTCAATGTCAAGAAGACAAAGATTCTCACCACTGGACCAATTGGCAGCATCAGGATGGATGGTGAGGAGATTGATATTGTACACAGCTTTAGTTTGATTGGCTCCACAGTCAACAGTCTTGGCACCGGCAGCCAGGAAATTAAAAGGCTCATTGCCATGGGAAAGTCTGCTGTTAGGGACCTCTCCAAAGTACTGAAGAGCAATGGTGTCTCTTTGGAGACCAAGGTGTGTCTGATACAGGCCATGGTCTTTGCAATCACTTGTTACGCATCAGAGAGTTGGACAATGACCAAGGAGGATAGAAGGAGAATTGATCCCTTTGAGCTGTGGTGCTGGAAAAGAGTATTGAGAGTACGATGGACTGCTAGGAAAACAAACAAATTTGTCCTGGAAAGGGTTAAATTGGGTGGCTCCTTGGAAGCAAGGATTCTGAGGCTCCATCTAACATACTTTGGACATGTTGTGAGGAGAGACATGTCCTTGGAGAGGGACATCATGCTTGGGAGAGTGTAGGGACAGCGCAGGAGAGGTAGGCCCTCTATGAGGTGAATTGATTCAGTGACTGGGATAATTGGGATGGGAGTGTCAGAGACAGTGCGATTGGCACAGGACAGAGCAGAGTTTAGGGCTGTTGTACATAGGGTCGCTATGAGTCGCAGGCGACTCAACGGCACATAACAGCAACAACAATTTTTAAGGTCACCATTAAATGAGTGGATGCAAAAAAAATATGAGTGGATGCACACTAACAATGAACTAAATGAAGAATGTGCTTCTTAGAATGATAATACTTAGAAATGATTTGTCAGGAGTATTAATTTTAAACAAACTCTTTTGTCTGAAGAAGTAAAACATAGAAATCATGTGCATTTACATATGTATCTCTAAACATTTTTTCCCCCCCTTAAGAAGAGCCTGGTAGAACAGCGGGAGACAGGCATTCACAGAACATTACATTTTTTTTTTTTAAATATAGCACACAATGACATAAAGTCTTTGTATATCTGACATCTTCAGCTATTAAATAGTCTTAGTCATAATTGTAATTTCAGGTCATATTCAGGAATGATCTATCCCTAATACTGTAAGCCTTGGCAGGAAAAGGTAAGGTAGTAAGTGACCTTAACAGTTAAGAGGACCTGTGGTGGTGCCATGAATTAAGCATTGGGCTGCTAACTAAAAGGTTAGTGGTCCAAATCTATAAGTGCTTCAAATCCGCCCACCTTTCGTGAAAGAAAGATGTGGCAGACTGCTTATGTAAAGATACAGTTTTGGAGACTCTATGGCGTTTCTGCTCTGTCCTGCAGGGACACTCTGAGTCGGAATAGATTTGTTGGCAGAGAGTCTGGTCAAAAAGTAAGCGAGGATCCCTAGAATGAGTGAGAAATAGAAAAGACTACTTCATATTGTTACTTGTGATTTACCTCTGAAAAAGTTTAGAAAACAGGAATTTAACAATGAATCTGGCTTTAGAAGACAAGATTGCCACTTTACGTTTTAAAGTATATTTGAAATATTATCACAATAAATGCAAAAAATACAGTCACCAAAGGAATTTATTCTGGTGGCTTTGAATTCCGAGTTAACAAGAGTCTTCATAGCAAATCTTCATGTTGGCCGCATAAGACTTTGGAGAAAAGTACCAGGAATGCTTATCACGAAATGACCAGCGATAGATGCATTCCCTTTTTCTTTCTGGTCCTAAATTTTCCCACCTGGAGGGAACCCAGGCATGAGAAGTCCATCAATGCCCGCAGCTGACAGCTCCTCAACACTTTCCTTACTCTCCCTCGGGTTGCTATCAAAACCCGGAGAAATGGATTCTCTTCGTACCCTACTGCCTCACATCCAAACTGCAGAGGCCGAGGGAGTGGTAGCAGAAGTTGGGGGGGGAGGGAGGGGAACAGGAATAAGAGAAGGGAGGGGGGGAAAGCCTGAGCGACTAAGCATGCGCGAGAAGTGGCGCATGCTCAATGCAGACAGCTGCTTCCCATTGCGGGTAGTCCGGGCGCTGGCAGCGGTGAAGGAGGCGGCAGCGGTGGCACCGCCTCCTCCTCACACGCCCCGGGTGGCGGGGTTAGATGAGCGGCCCCAGTAGCGGCGAGGTTGGCGCGTGGGGGAGGAGGAGGAGAAGGAGGAGAAGAAGAAGGTCGCTGTCTTTGTAGTCTCCCTGCTGCAGGAGGGAGAGGCCGCTGGCGGAGTCGTCGTCGTTGGAAAAGGGCTGTGTGTGTGCGCGCGCGTGTCTGCCTGCCCGGTCCGCGGGGACGAGGCGGCGGCGGCGGCGAGGATGATGATGTGCGCAGCGACTGCCTCCCCCGCCGCCGCCTCCTCGGGGCCCGGCGGGGACGGATTCTTTCCAGCCGTCACCATCTCTTCCTCCCCGGCGCCGGGGGCGCTCTTCATGCCAGTTCCCGAGGGCTCCGTGGCCACCGCGGGGCTGGGGCTGCCCACTGCGGACTCCCGGGGTCACTACCAGCTGGTGCTGTCCGGCCGGGCCCTGGCCGACCGCTACCGGAGGATTTACACAGCTGCGCTCAGTGACAGGGACCAGGGAGGGAGCAGCGCTGGACACCCGGCCTCCAGGTACGTCTCCTGGGTGCCCTTCCTTGCACTACATGCCGCGTGTGCGCTCGTGTGTGCGCGCGCGTGTGTAAGTGTGTATGTGCGTATTTATTTATGTGCGTGTCTGCTGACCAGTCTTTTCAATCACTGCTTAAGGCTGGATAGTAGAGGCAGTAGAGATAGGAGGAGGGTGCGGTGGCTGCAGTTTCAGCTATGTCTTTCTCTGTGTCTCTAGGGGGGTTTAAGTGAGGGTGGGAGCGCAGCTCGTGAGGCTAGATGAAAAGTGATGGTGCGATGACACGTGTGTGTTTGTGTGTGTTGTTGAGGAAGGGGAGAAGATGAGTGCAGAGTGAGAGGATAATTAACACGCGGAGAGAATTTGTGAGAGTAGAGAGGGAAGTGGTGTTTCCAGTGTCTCTGCCGCAGTGGTACTTGAACGTATCTTTTGACACCTTAACCTTCCTGCCCCAATGACATTCCATCCTCCTCTTTCCACCAGTAAAAAAAAAAATCTGCCTCTAAAGAAACAATGGTGTAGGTTAAGGATACTTTCGTTTATAGGATGAATTACTTGAATCAAAACTCAGATCAGCGAGAGGTTTCATTGTATAAGAGTAACAGATGCAGATGAAGAGTTGCGTGGACAGAAAGGCGTCTAATGAAGAGATTGTTTGGAGCTATACTTTGATCCCTGGACCCTTTGGTGTTCTAGAGATGTTCTGTGTTCTGACACCCCATAGGCCGTTTTCTCTTCATCTTCTGTTTGTTTCCCTGTTAAAGACTTTGGATAGGTTTTATAGTGGAAAAGAGAAAGCCAAATAAAAAAAAACAACACACAAACCCTAACTTTAGAATATGACAGCTTGATACAATGTTTAACTGCCAAGAATCCAAAACATTGAGTCTGGTCTTTTCTAGACTGCCTGTCTAGTTTCCTTGATGTGAAAGATCTTAAATCACTTTCATTTTCTTTTTCTCAAAAGATGGGTACTTTTTTGCCGAGGACTCTCCTGTTATTTTCTTTCCATGTCCTTACATGCCACATACCCTGAAGGATGGTGACTGACTTGTTTTACCAGCTTGGGTTTGACTGGTAAATGGGAGTTGGCTTTATCGTTTTTTCCTCCATAGCTCCTTGGTTTTATACAGGCAGTATAAATGGTAGGATTTTGTCAAATGAATTAAAGAGTTAAATATTCATTGCATGTACATTTTATTAGTCAGTAACCAGATTTCCCTCTTCCTCTCATTGTGAAAGGAATGAGGCTCTAAGTAGCGTGTTTGTAGTTTTATCAGTATCTACTATGGTTTAATCCATTGGACCGAGTTGTAAAGCTGGAGCTTTGTTCATGTTTTTCTCTGGATAAATCAATCTTCTCACTTCTGTAATTGTCTATAGGATTAGACGAATAAGTATTTGTATTGTATGTATAGAAATATATGTAGGTACCTTTTATTACCCAAATGGATGACCAGAATAACAGAGGTTTATTTTCTGCCAAAACCTTTGAAAAGAACACAAAGGATTGTTAGGTAAAATTTAGATCTGTGGTTCTCTAAATTCAGGTGCTATTGATTCATCTGCACAAATCTTTCAAAATGAATTTCATTTTACGTGTTCTTCGCAGACTTAACACAGTAATTTGTTGATTCAAATTATAGGGACCCTGTAGGACAAATTAGAATTGTTGATAGGATTTCTAAGACTGTAAATCTTTATATGAAAACAGACTGCCACATCTTTCTCCCGTGGAGCAACTGGTGGGTTCAACCCCATGGCTTTTTGGTTAGAAGCAGAGCCTAAACTATTATACCACTAAAGCACCTTTTGACTTTCTACTACTCATATATTAAGATTTTTATGTATCTAGAGCTATATTAAGATTTGATATAAAATTAATGCAGATCAAACATGAGGAGACCTGGTGGCCTAGTGTTACATGTTGTGCTGCTAACTAAGAGGTCAGTGGTTTGAATCCACTATCCTCATGGTGGGAGCAAGAGGGTATTGTCCTTTGTGAACCCGATGAACGGTAACTTAAGTCAGAATTGTCTAGATGCTGATAGGTTTGGGTTTTGGTTATCGTATACATAAAATTTGTGAGGTTTTAGCTTTTGATCTGCTTTTCTTCCAGCTGTTAGTTAAAAGAAAAAGCAGTTAGTTTGAATGGTTCCAGAAATCCTCATATTAAATCATATTACTTTCCCAGAATAGTATTGCTTATTACAGTTCACTTTATTTTTCTGCATTTTAGTCTATAACTTTATTGAGAATTTTACTAACGATTCAGGCATATTTCTTATTAAGGTGATAGAGAAAGGAAAGCTGGAATTTAGTCTCTGAATGAATAGATACAGTCATGTATGGAGGTTGAAGTTAGAGGAAAGGATGAGATCTTTCAAAGACAGAATGAAGCAAGACTAGGGGATCAAAGTGTGAAGTCCGAGAGGAAGGTGAAAGTGGAGGAAGCTGAAAAAGCAAGAGGAAAATTAGGAGTAGAATGGGGATATAGTAACATCTGTCTCTAATCCTGAGAAAGTAGATTGCAAAGAGAATAATTTCCAGGCTCCTGATAATTTTTTTTAGGAAGTGAACATAGGATGTGGTGAGGAACGAATGGAAAGTGTTGGGGGGATTAAGAATATTTAAGTATGAGAAGATGATAGAGGACATTTAGGAGTGCAGATGGTTGCCTAGTGGGTAAGGAGCTCAAATATCAACCCAGAGACAGGCAGTTCAGATCCCCCAGCTGCTCCACAGGAGAAAGATAGTCTCCTTCTATAGACTGAAAATTTGCAATAAACTTAGCTATGAATCAGTTCCAACTCAACAGCACAAGAAGTGAGAGCGATTAAAGATGTGAGAGACAGGGAATACTTGATGGTAAGAGGTTAAATAGATCTCAAGAACAGATTTAAAGACCACAAGTGGGAAGAGATTAATCATTGAAAGAAGGCAGGACTAGTCTTTCTTTAATACAGAAGGTGAGAAAGTGTGGAGAGTTACTGTTAGGGACTGTGGAGTCAGAACTGAATCTTCACTGACCTTCCAGTGGGTTTTCAGAGGCAGTAAATTGCATGGGAGGCGAGTGCCCATCTTTGTCTCACAGATTTGAACTGCATACTTTTGGGTTGACCATGCAGTTCCTTACCACCAGACCACCAGAGATCTCTGTGGAGAGTTGGTGGTGTTGTTAGGTGCTGTCACTCGTAGAGACCTTAATGAACAGCTGATCTGAACTCTGCCCTATCCTGTGCCTCCTCATAGTCTCTGGCACACTAGAGCCCACTGCAGAAGTCACTGTATCAATACATCTCATTGGGGATCTTCTTTTTATTCACTGACCCTTCATTGACTAAGCATAATGTCCCTCTCCAAGGAGTGTAGCTTTGCCTAGCTACATGCCAAAGTATGAAAGATGAATCTTTGCCAACTTTGTCTCCATGGACCACTCTGGCTGCGTACTATCCAAGACATAACTATTTGTTCTTTTGGCAGTCCATGGGATATTTAGTACTTTCCCCCAGTACCACAAGTCAAAGACATCAAATTTTCTTCTTCTGCCATCTTTATGCATCGTCCAGCTCTGATGCCTAGCAGGTGATTGAGAAGACCATGGCCTTATTCAGGCATACCTTAGTCTTCAAACTAATGAATGTCATTGCTCTTAGGCATTTTAGAGAGGTCTTTGACAGCTCTTTGACTTCTCCAAAGCAATACGTCTCCTGACTGCTAGTACCAAAAATGTTAATTGTTGATCCAAGCAAGGTGACATCATAGAATGCTTCAGTCTTTTCTCCATGTATCATAATGTAGACTGTTTGTACTGTAGTGAGGACTTTTGTTTTCTTGATGTTGAGGAGTAACCCATACCAAAGACTGTAGTCCTTCATCTTCTGCAGTAAGCATTTCATGTTAATAATTTTGGTTATTTCATTGTTTAAAAATTTTTGGCATTCATTTTGCTAACTAACACTCTGACTCATTTACATTGGATTAGAACAGACTCATAGCTAACCCTCCAGTGAGTTTTGGGAGGCTATAAATCACAAGGAAGATGATTAACCAACCTTCTCCTTCAGAGCTGCTGGTGGCTTTGAACTGTAAAGAGAGGAGCAGCCAGTTTTTGTGTTAGCAGTCTATGGACTGTGCTAGCCCTGTGTACTGTGCTTAGATCTATGGACTGTGTTAGCTCGTGAACTGTGCTAGCCCTACAAACTATGCCCCTATCACCTGATCTCTATTTCAGGTGCCAACTATTTGCCAGAAGTTCCTGGGTTTGCAGACTAGTTAAAATGAACTAGTTGCTAGTTCAAGTTCCTGAAGAGGCTTTTAGGAAGAAAGATCTGGTGACATACCTCAAAAAAAAAATCCATTCCAAACTCTATGAAGTACAGTTCTGTGTTGAAGTAAGTTAGAGTTAAATTGGTGGCAAGTTTTTTTAATGTATCAGAACATTGTTTTAGATGTTGTAGATGTAATAGTGAGCAAGAGATCACACTAGTAGGGTGAAATACATAATCAGATGAGACAATTTTAGGTAGACTTAAGTAGATGTGAAAGGAATAGAACTAATTTCCTATGATAGAGCCATTTGCAGTGGAACTGTTTTAGATGAGGTGTCAGGGAAAGTAGAAGCTGACCTTTAAAGTTTAAGTTGAAACAATAGTAAGGAAACAGATTTAGAGTAAGAATATTTTAGGAATTTATAAAGCCCTGAGGAATGAACAGCTCTGTATTCGAGAAACAAAAACAAATCAAATGCATTTTCAGTTAACGTTGAATGACTTAATTATTACAGATTATGTTTTACATGTAAGGTAGAGAAATTGAAGAATTCAGTCTTAATGGAGACTGTCACTTTGGAGGCAGGCACTCTAATGACATGGTTAAGAACTTGGATTCTGAAGTCAGACTAGTTTTCAGGCCTGGCTCTGCTGCTGTTAGCTTGGTGACCTTGGGTACATTGCTCAATCCTACGAGCTCTTTAGTGTTCCTATATGTAGAATGAGGCTAAAAA